GCTCAGTCCCAGAAGCAGAGTCAAGACCTGAATGGACACAGATACTATGAGCTGGACGTTTTTGCCTCTTTATTCCCGCTTTATGAAGATTTATTCCTACTTCCCGCCCCCTTATTCTTTCTGACGGGAGCTATTGGCATTAAAGAGGATCTTTATTTCTGAAAAGTTCATTCCTGCTACTAACACTGCCCATAGGATAGTAGTTACACCTCACTTAGTTTATTCTAGGTCAATCTATCACAATTAGTGTCTATGGAAAGTATTGTGGTGTCAGAATCAAAAGATGATGACCTTAGAAAGGGAATAAGCAGCAGGATGAGCACATAGCGAACAAAGACTGAGTTTTCTGCCAACGTCCTCAAACAGTACGAGAGACGGGCTGCACCACGGGACAGGGGCAGACTCACCACCAAGGCCAAAGCACTTAAGCACGTGTTTAACTTGCAGCACATGCTTAATTCCCCTTGACTTCAGTGGGCCCTAAACCCCTGCTGACACAATTGGATGATTTGGTGTGAAAATGGGATAGTGACCATGAAGTTTATAGATACAGATAGGAAAGGGTTAAAACTGCTCCTCTTCCCATTGCCACCTTCCCGTTCTAAAGTGGCAGGAGAGGGGATAATTAGATTGTGGGGATAATGGGCCAAAGCGTTTAAACGTTTAAACATCGTTTAAACATCGTTCTGATTGGACAGACCAGTCAGGCTGGGTGTTTGCAGCAGGCCAGTTCCTTTGGGTAGAACATTACCAGAGCATGCAGCATGGACAAGTGCTAATGCATACATGGGAATATGGGTAGGGCTCCCCTGGCCAAGGGGCAGCCCAGGGCCTTTCGAACTAAAGCAGCACTGAGTGCTCCTGCCAGCCTCACACACTAATAACATGCGGACCAGGAGAAGAGAGAATCTGCCTGTCTAATCTCCCATCTCCTGTATTATGATTTATTTAACAGTTGTACAGAGCAGCCCAGGAGCCAGCGAGTAGAGGCAGTCTCTGTCCCAAAGGGCTTGCAACCCGAGTTGATAGGTCTGCCTTTGTTATTTAGCACATGCATACAGCACCACGGGTGAGCAGACGGACTGACAGCGGTGCTGTAATGGTTCAGGGTCCCACGAAGATTGGGGTGCAGTGAGTTTGAGGTGAGTGTGTTGCTCACCAATGGAGGAGCCAGGAGAGTGCCTGCTCTTAGCCAGCACTGGATTGAATAAAGGCCCATCACTGTCAATCCCATGCATGAAAACATTCCTTTCTGGGTTTTGCGGTTTGTTTTGAGCACAAAAGAAGTTGCTACAGCCCCATCGCCTTTAAGCAAGCTGCTGTCAGCAGGCCCAGTACCCTGAACCAGTCACAGCTATGCCAGTGAGCTCCTTCCATGGGGGAGGCTTGCTGCAGAGACATTGAATTCAACAGCCTGCCTGCCCCACCTCTGGGGTGAGTGCCACAGAGAACTCTTGCTGCTTTTCACCTGTCTTGATCCATGCCTGCTGCTGTTGTTCCCGTTGCCGGGGGGTGGGGGGCGACCTCTTTACCAGGCTGTAACGGGATCTCTGGGGAGGATTTTACTGCTGCTTGTTTTTACAGACTGCTGGGGCTGCGAGTAGCTGGCAGCCAGTGTGCCAGGGACACCTGCACTTCCGAGCCAGCTGCCACAACACAACCAGCCCCTACCCCTGCACTGTCGGACTGGGGCCCTCACAGCTACTCACAGGCTGATAGAAACAGTATGCAAATGTGTGCACTGAAATGTACTAAATCCCTTTGGGCAGCTGTGGAGGGATCCCCTGGTCTGGCTTGTCCCTCTCCAAAAACAAAACAACAAAAAAGCTCTCTGGAGGGCTTAGTCTTCCAAATTCATGCATCCCCAAGATCTGCATAGGTCTCGGGCGATCCCCCAGTAGGCAGGACTGAGATGCACAGAGGCCAAGTGCCTCTGTACCTGCTCTCTACCCACAGCAGCCCTCTTACAGCCCTGGACCAGCACAAACCAGCCAGTGCCACCAGATCCCTCCCCAAAGGGTCCAGATCCACTGTGAGGAGTGGAGAAGCACTCAGGCATGTGTGTGGATTTACAGTGGGAGTTGATGTGTCAGACAGTGCTCATCTCCCCTTCCCACTGCCTGCCTGTCCCCCTGGACTCCCAGATCTGGATCCTCATGGATCCCGCCATCCTTCCCCTCCACATGGCTTCCTGTGAGGTCAGAGAGGGCAGCACTCCCCAATCCACAGCCACCCTGCAGGAATCTGTTGGGTTTTCATCCCAGGATCTGGCCCGTTGATGGAGTTCTGATACAAGTGCATCTAAAGGGCGCTCACTCTGTGTTCACTCAGGCAGTTCCCCGCTGAGATTCCCAAAGAGCTCCACATGAGTACAGCCCAGGGAAGGCCGGTGTGGAGATGCTTGTGTCAAGCTGCCCTGCAGTGGCTCAGGATTGTGGGTACCAACCTCAGGCAGACTGTTGGGAAACAGGGAACAAACTCCAAACTGGCTGTGAATTCTATACTTAGATTTCACCAACCAGTTATCAAGTTGTAAACCCCTCAGGGACTATAACAGCCTTAACATGGAGTCACAGACAGTCTCCTTGGGTGCTCCGATCTATCTTGTCACCCAGGTAAGTGTGCCTTTGTGATAGGTGGTCCCTTACACAATGGTCACAGCTATATTTAGGTTTCAGAGGAACAGCCGTGTTAGTCTGTATTCGCAAAAAGAAAAGAAGTACTTGTGGCACCTTAGAGACTAACCGAAAGCTTATGCTCAAATAAATTGGTTAGTCTCTAAGGAGCTATATTTAGGTTATTCCCAATCCCAGAGAACCAGTCAGTTATCGCAGGTCAATTGCACCTTAGATCTCACACCAAAGACAATGCTTGTAGCCAATCCTGTAATAAACTATCTAAAGATTTATTATATAGGAAAAGGAAACAAGAGAGTTATGTACAAGGTTAAAGCAGGTAAACATATATATGCACAAATGAGTTCCCATCTTAAGTTTCAAAAAGTAATAAAGACTTCTATAATAAGTAAGCTCTATATGTCCTTTATGGCTCACCCAGGCTAAACATTGCGGATCTTTTGCTTATGCCTGGCAAACCTTGCCCCCCAGCATCTAAGCAGCATACAAAAAAAGTTCCTTCTTTATCAGGCTTTGCCCCCCCCTCCTCCCTTCTGTTTTGGGCTGCAAACCTCAGCTATGGAAAGAATTCACTTGCATGACTTACCTTCATGGGGGGAGGGGAGAGTAAACAAAAAAGTCTTTTGTCCTCTTTAACATTCCACACTAGTCTGTCTGGTGTCCATTGGCCTTCCTGGATGGGCAGAAAAGAATACCTTCGGTTGGAGACCAGCTTTTCACCTAGTTAACATCTCTCTCCTGTCTGGTGATTTACACTGTTACAGAGGCTTACAATGCAAATGCTCAGATATTTCCTGATAATAGGGTACAGATGTTACAAGTGAGATTAATGCCGGCAGTAACTTCCAAGCATTCCATAAAGTCTAAAGTCAAATGCTTGTTTTAACAACACTACCACCCAGGTGGGCCAGGCTGGTTCCCACTATGTATTTGTCAATGTTCAGTTGAGACATGAGCATCCAGGCTGCCAGCGTCACACCCCAAAGTGCCTGGTGTCGAAGGTGCATGTAGCATGTGGCTGCTTAGCATATCCTGAAGCACATCCGGCTCTTTAGTTTAGTTTGTTTTGATAGAAAGGCTGTTATGTCAGGGCAAATTAAGTTACTCTCAGCTTATTAAAATCATGTTGTAATTTCTCAACTGGTAATTACATGCGACAGCAGTGATTCTGCCTTCATTCTAGGCAGGAGCCCGGGCTAGAATTCAACCAGCTGAGTCAAGCTACAAGGTGCTTCCCAGCTCTGACAGGTTCCCCCCGGGATGTGACTTGGAACTGAGGTACCACTGAGTCCCCCTGACCCACCAGCCTCGGCTCCCGTTACACTGTACTGCTATGACCCGCCTGCCAAGCCCTCTGCCAGGCTCCAGCACACATGCAGGTAGGGACACAGCCAGCTGCAGTTACATGCTGAAAGGTTCTTTAACCAGCCCCTGCACAGGAAGGCACAGGTAGGGCACTTTCCGGTTCCTAAGACACGCACCTCTTCTCCGAAGTGTAAACCCAAAATTATACCATTTTGCGCTGCACAGAGAATTGTACAGCCCCCTCGCTCAATGTGGAGAGGAAATATACAACAGCTTCCTGCCCCGAGTTATGATTTCCACGCACACTGGTTTTAGACAAAGCAAAAGCAGGTTTATTAACTGCAAAAGAATAGATTTTAAGTGATTATAAGGGACAGCAAACAGATCAAACCAGAATACATAGTAAATAAACATAATTTCACATAGGACGGTAGCACGTACAATCCAACGAGATACTACTGTCTAGCAGATCAAGACTTTTTAGAATGACACCTCACAAGGCATACTTTGTGCAAATCATATCCTAATTATATGACAATGGTGCATACTGGGGTGCCAGGGTGTCACACCGGCATCTACACTGGGAAAACTGTCAAGTTGATTTGGGCGTAGCAGCCACGTTACCGAAACCCAACCGCAACGCAACCCCTTTCCTAGTGGGGACAGCCACAGCAGTGATGAGAGGGAGAATACGGTATGCAGAGAAAGCACCTTCTCAGCACTGGAAGTGGTCCCTCCACAGCCAGTTCAGCCCTCATTTACAGCCAGGCAAACTTAGCGAAGTCACTGATCTTCCATATCAGGGTTAGGGCACATTAGGGGAAAAAAATGTAACCTAGTGGACAGAACACTGGACTGGGACTCAGGAGTTGTGGGTGATATTATTGGCTCTCCCGTTGGCCTGCTAGGTGATCTTGGGCAAGTCACTTCACTGCCCTGTGCCTCAGTTTCCCTATGTGTAAAATAGGGATAGTGATAATGAATTCCTCTGTTAAAGACCTTTGAGATCTATCGATGAAAAGTGCCATCTGAGAGACAGCAAGGTGCTGGTGGATACTGTGGGGGAAACCTCTGCTATTGCTGAGATCCCTCACTGCCTTGTACCTTGTATAGCACAGAACTGCCTGCAGCAGATGTTGCGAGGCCTGAGAGGGGACATGGTGAACAAATAGCCAAAGATATCAAGACAGCAACAGAGGAATTCTGCAGGCATGTCGGAGGTAGAAACTTGCTGGAGAACCAACACTGTGACTGCACCTTGTGGATACTAAGGGAACAGCCAAAGTGGCCTCAGAGATTGCAGGTGAACTAGTTTAGTTCTTTGCATCAGTCTTCACCACAAAGAAACACCTACCCCAGATTACTCTTGCCAGGCAGGAGGGGTGGGGCCTGGCCAGAGGCGGAGAGATCAATAAAGGGCTGATGGAACAACCTGAGAAACGAGGGCCCAATCCGACGATGAATCCCTAATGGGCACAGCACTCGCTACTAAGAGTAGCCCACCACCTTCCACGCCCAGCTGCATGGGGCCCTGATTCAGAAAAGGACCTAAACATATGCTTGAATCCACCCTTACTCAGGAAAGCACTTAAGCACACACTTAACTTTAACCATGTGTTGAAGTCCCACTGAAGTCAATGGCACCTGCACAACTCAATAGGACTTAGCCCTGGTCTACACTAGGACTTTAGGTCGAATTTAGCAGCGTTAAATCGATGTAAACCTGCACCCGTCCACACAATGAAGCCCTTTATTTCGACTTAAAGGGCTCTTAAAATCGATTTCCTTACTCCACCCCTGACAAGTGGATTAGCGCTTAAATCGACGTTGCCGGCTCGAATTTGGGGTACTGTGGACACAATTCGATGGTATTGGCCTCCGGGAGCTATCCCAGAGTGCTCCATTATGACCACTCTGGACAGCACTCTCAACTCAGATGCACTGGCCAGGTAGACAGGAAAAGAACCGCGAACTTTTGAATCTCATTTCCTGTTTGGCCAGCGTGGCAAGCTGCAGGTGACCATGCAGAGCTCATCAGCACAGGTGACCATGATGGAGTCCCAGAATCGCAAAAGAGCTCCAGCATGGACCGAACGGGAGGTACGGGATCTGATCGCTGTATGGGGAGAGGAATCCGTGCTATCAGAACTCCGTTCCAGTTTTCGAAATGCCAAAACCTTTGTCAAAATCTCCCAGGGCATGAAGGACAGAGGCCATAACAGGGACCCGAAGCAGTGCCGCGTGAAACTGAAGGAGCTGAGGCAAGCCTACCAGAAAACCAGAGAGGCGAACAGCCGCTCTGGGTCAGAGCCCCAAACATGCCGCTTCTATGATGATCTGCATGCCATTTTAGGGGGTTCAGCCACCACTACCCCAGCTGTGTTGTTTGACTCCTTCAATGGAGATGGAGGCAATACGGAAGCAGGTTTTGGGGACGAAGAAGATGATGATGATGAGGAGGTTGTAGATAGCTCACAGCAAGCAAGCGGAGAAACCGGTTTTCCCGACAGCCAGGAACTGTTTCTCACCCTAGACCTGGAGCCAGTACCCCCCGAACCCACCCAAGGCTGCCTCCTGGACCCAGCAGGCGGAGAAGGGACCTCTGGTGAGTGTACCTTTTAAAATACTATACATGGTTTAAAAGCAAGCATGTGAAAAGATTACTTTGCCCTGGCATTTGCGGTTCTCCTAGATGTAGTCTTAAAGCCTTTGCAAAAGGTTTCTGGGGAGGGCAGCCTTATTGCGTCCTTCATGGTAGGACACTTTACCACTCCAGGCCAGTAACACGTACTCGGGAATCATTGTAGAACAAAGCATTGCAGTGTATGTTTGCTGGCATTCAAACAACATCCGTTCTTTATCTCTCTGTGTTATCCTCAGGAGAGTGAGATATAATTCATGGTCACCTGGTTGAAATAGAGTGCTTTTCTTCAGGGGACACACAGAGGAGCCCATTCCTGCTGGGCTGTTTGCCTGTGGCTAAACAGAAATGTTCCCCGCTGTTAGCCACAGGGAGGGGGGAAGGTTGAGGGGGTAGTCACGCGGTGGGAGGAGGCAAAATGTGACCTTGTAACGAAAGCACATGTGCTATATATGTAACGTTAACAGCAAGGTTTACCCTGAAAGAGTGTAGCCACTGTTTTATAAAATGTGTCTTTTTAAATACCGCTGTCCCTTTTTTTTCTCCACCAGCTGCATGTGTTTCAATGATCACAGGATCTTCTCCTTCCCAGAGGCTAGTGAAGCTTAGAAAGAAAAAAAAACGCACTCGCGATGAAATGTTCTCCGAGCTCATGCTGTCCTCCCACACTGACGGAGCACAGACGAATGCGTGGAGGCAAATAATGTCAGAGTGCAGGAAAGCACAAAATGACCGGGAGGAGAGGTGGCGGGCTGAAGAGAGTAAGTGGCGGGCTGAAGAGAGTAAGTGGCGGAATGAAGACAGGGCTGAAGCTCAAATGTGGCGGCAGCGTGATGAGAGGAGGCAGGATTCAATGCTGAGGCTGCTGCAGGACCAAACCAGTATGCTCCAGTGTATGGTTGAGCTGCAGCAAAGGCAGCTGGAGCACAGACTGCCACTGCAGCCCCTCTGTAACCAACCGCCCTCCTCCCCAAGTTCCATAGCCACCACACCCAGACGCCCAAGAACGCGGTGGGGGGCCTCCGGCCAACCAGCCACTCCACCACAGAGGATTGCCCAAAAAAAAGAAGGCTGTCATTCAATAAATTTTAAAGTTGTAAACTTTTAAAGTGCTGTGCTTAAAGTGCTGTGTGGCATTTTCCTTCCCTCCTCCACCACCCCTCCTGGGCTACCTTGGTAGTCATCCCCCTATTTGTGTGATGAATGAATAAAGAATGCATGAATGTGAAGCAACAATGACTTTATTGCCTCTGCAAGCGGTGATTGAAGGGAGGAGGGGCGGGTGGTTAGCTTACAGGGAAGTAGAGTGAACCAAGAGGCGGGGGGGTTCATCAAGGAGAAACAAACAGAACTTTCACACCGTAGCCTGGCCAGTCATGAAACTGGTTTTCAAAGCTTCTCTGATGCATACCGCGCCCTCCTGTGCTCTTCTAACCGCCCTGGTGTCTGGCTGCGCGTAACCAGCAGCCAGGCGATTTGCCTCAACCTCCCACCCCGCCATAAACGTCTCCCCCTTACTCTCACAGATATTGTGGAGCACACAGCAAGCAGTAATAACAGTGGGAATATTGGTTTCGCTGAGGTCTAAGCGAGTCAGTAAACTGCGCCAGCGCGCCTTTAAACGTCCAAATGCACATTCTACCACCATTCTGCACTTGCTCAGCCTGTAGTTGAACAGCTCCTGACTACTGTCCAGGCTGCCTGTGTACGGCTTCATGAGCCATGGCATTAAGGGGTAGGCTGGGTCCCCAAGGATACATATAGGCATTTCAACATCCCCAACAGTTATTTTCTGGTCTGGGAATAAAGTCCCTTCCTGCAGCTTTTGAAACAGACCAGAGTTCCTGAAGATGCGAGCATCATGCACCTTTCCCGGCCATCCCACATTGATGTTGGTGAAACGTCCCTTGTGATCCACCAGAGCTTGCAGCACTATCGAAAAGTACCCCTTGCGGTTTATGTACTCGGCGGCTTGGTGCTCCGGTGCCAAGATAGGGATATGGGTTCCGTCTATAGCCCCACCACAGTTAGGGAATCCCATTGCAGCAAAGCCATCCACTATGACCTGCACATTTCCCAGGGTCACTACCCTTGATATCAGCAGATCTTTGATTGCGTGGGCTACTTGCATCACAGCAGCCCCCACAGTAGATTTGCCCACTCCAAAATGATTCCCAACTGACTGGTAGTTGTCTGGCGTTGCAAGCTTCCACAGGGCTATCGCCACTCGCTTCTCAACTGTGAGGGCTGCTCTCATCTTGGTATTCATGCGCCTCAGGGCAGGGGAAAGCAAGTCACAAAGTTCCATGAAAGTGCCCTTACGCATGCGAAAGTTTCGCAGCCACTGGGAATCGTCCCAGACCTGCAACACTATGCGGTCCCACCAGTCTGTGCTTGTTTCCCGAGCCCAGAATCGGCGTTCCACAGCATGAACGTGCCCCATTAGCACCATGATGCATGCACTGGCAGGGCCCATGCTTTCAGAGAAATCTGTGTCCATGTCCTGATCACTCACGTGACCGCACTGACGTCGCCTCCTCGCCCGGTATCGCTTTGCCAGGTTCTGGTGCTGCATATACTGCTGAATAATGCGTGTGGTGTTTAATGTGCTCCTAATTGCCAAAGTGAGCTGAGCGGCCTCCATGCTTGCCTTGGTATGGCGTCTGCACAGAAAAAAGGCGCGGAACGATTGTCTGCCGTTGCTCTGACAGAGGGAGGGGCGACTGACGACACGGCTTACAGGGTTGGCTTCAGGGAGCTAAAATCAACAAAGGGGGTGTCTTTACATCAAGGAGTATTTCAGGCAGGACTTCACGGAGGGTTCCAATAAGAAATGGTGCACCTAAGTTATCGTTCTTATTGGAACAAGGAGGTTAGCCTGGCCTCTGATTGATACATGGCTAGATTTACCTCGCTGCACCTTCTCTGTGAGTGACTGCAGTGTGACCTAGAGGAATGAGTCCCCTAGACAGGGGAGGGAGGGAAACAAATGAGTACAAAACAAATCTGGTCTATTTCTTGTTTTGATCCACTCCATCTATCTTTTACATCTTTGGCTGGCAGCAGACGGTGCAGAAGGACTGCATGCCATCCACATCTCATGGCTGCTCGGCAGAAGATGGTACAATCTGCTAGCAATCCGTATCGCCTGCCCGCTCACCATAAGACGGTTCAATAGGACTGACTGCAGGACTAAAGAGAATGACCTGGTCAAGTCACTCCAAATTTAGTCCCTGCGCCCATGTCTGCCCAGGCGCTCCCAGCCGATGTGGCCAGGAGCACCTCGGACATGACGATGACGGCTACCAGTCGTACTGTACCGTCTGCTGCCACAAGGCAAGGGGTTGCTGCTACTGTGTAGCAATGCCGTACCACGTCTGCCAGCACCCAGGAGACATAGGGTGACGGTTACCTGAGCGGGCTCCATGCTTGCCGTGGTATGGCATCTGCACAGGTAACTCAGGAAAAAAGGCGCCAAACGATTGTCTGCCCTTGCTTTCACGGAGGGAAGGAGGGAACGGGGGCCTGACAATATGTACCCAGAACCACCCGCGACAATGTTTTAGCCCCATCAGGCATTGGGATCTCAACCCAGAATTCCAATGGGCAGCGGAGACTGCGGGAACTGTGGGATAGCTACCCACAGTGCAACGCTCCGGAAGTCGACTCTAGCCTCGGTACTGTGGAAGCGCTCTGCCGAGTTAATGCACTTAATGCACTTAGAGCATTTTCTGTGGGGACACACACACTCGAATATATAAAACCGATTTCTAAAAAACCGACTTCTATAAATTCGCCCTTATTCCGTAGTGTAGACATACCCTTACACAAGTCCTGAATGCCTTCCTGAATCAGGGCCTCTGTTTGCAGGATCAGCCCCTTAAGCTACCATCCATCACCAAGATCAAACAGCACGCCTGTGAAAACACTGAAGGTACCAGCAAATGAAGTTGCCGAGTGATGAGTAAAACCAGCCATTACACTAGAGGACTAGAAGTTGATCAGTGTTGTAACTTTTTAAAATGCTGAAGGGAGCTCCAGGAATTCTAGACCAGTGAACCCTACCTAAGTACTGAGAAAACTAAATGAGAAAATCATTAGACAGAGTTATAACCCTCGTCTGATCAGTGCAGTGTGATAGGGCTAAGCCAGCAGGGTAAATTGGTGGCTATCATTTATTAGCAAAACTGGATAAAATGTGTAGAACGGCTGGGTATCATATATAGAACTCTTTGATAAGGATTTTAATAAAGTGCCCCAGAAGGGGCTGTCAAGGACCCTTGGTAACCACAGACTGTGATATACAGACCTGTCCTGGACTAAAAACTGGTTAAAAGACAGGAAGTTAAATAGAAATAAATGACACGAGCTCAGCATGGGGAGTGCTTTGAAGCGGGTTGCCCTGTGGCTCAGTGGGAGCTGTACTCTTCAATGTATCTATTAGTGACCTGGGAGAGGGAGTGTTAATGAAACGGCTGAGCATACAAATTTAGGTTATCAGACCCCGGGGAAGTTTGCAAAGAGCTCATGAAGAGCTTGAAAAAACTGGAAAACAGGGCAATATGATGGCAGATGATACATGCAGGGTGATACCTGGTGGAAAACAGCTTACCGATGGGTTTGGTTTAGGAGCTCTTTTCACCCAGCACAAAAATCTCTCTCTATCAATGTGTGAAGACATGCAGTAAGAAGCTGACGCAGGAGGCGCTCACTGCATGTGTCATCCGGATCCTGATAGCTTCTCATTCATTCCCTCTTATCCACATCTTATAGATGAAATTGTGTCGAGGAAGGGGAAAAGGTATTTCTTTGGAAAGGATAAAGGGGACCGAGGAGAGAGTTAAGAATCAGAACTGGCAAATCAATCAACAACCGCCGGAGTTCAGTGCTGAAAAATAATCCCATAACTCTGTCTGTGCTGCCTGTATAGGAAATGGCGTAACACAGAGCCTGTGCTGGGCAACCTGTACTCGTGTTTAAAAAAATCAAAGTGTTTTCCAGTCTAAGGCAGCTGCTTATAGCTGAGATTGCACTAGAAATGACAGCTAACCAGACAGAACAATTCAAGATCAAACTGAGGTAGGTCACTTCATTTATTATGATGGGCATCTGCTGCTGGCATGCTCAGACCATGCTAAGGTAATTTCACATCTGAAAAGCAAGGGCAAGATCAGTGACAGCAACAGCTCTTCCCCTTCCTACTTACCAAATCTGGCAGCAGCCTAGTATCCTGGCCACTCCAGCTACATGTGCTGTGGGCATGCTACCTGACACCTCACAACATACCCACCTCCTTCCCCTTCCCACCCACCCCTCCAAACACACCTGGACACACACAAGCCTACCTGGAATTATGTCTGATTTTCCCACAGAGTCTGTGTGGCATTTCACAGATGTTTTCAACACATCACCTCACTGGCAGTTTGTCCGATGTGCTTCCCTGAAGAGAAAGGAGACTTCTTGAGAGCAACTTCCTTCTGTCTGTTCTCCTGAGGGTGAAATAGAGAGGCTTAAATAAGTTGCAATACCTTGCCTGGACACTAGATGGCATGTGCCACGAGTCGTAGGAATTTAAAGGTGACCTGTGATTTTTATTATTAATTTTTTTTTTTGAATGAGCTAATTAGCGTGTAAAGGTCCCAAAGGAGACAGGTTACATCAGGTGTTCTGCACCGCTAGGCTCGATTCTCCACTGCCCTGCTTCTGGCGTGGTGCCTGTGGTATTACAAAACTGCTCAGATCGGGTAGCATTTTGCAAACCCTTTGCTCTGAGATAAATGACTCAACAAAGTGCAGGGCAACAGAGAAGCAGGCCCATAACCTAGGATTTCAGTTCCTGTCTCCTGAGATTAGACTGGCTGGTAGCCCCCACTGTCACACCCCAGCATGCCTCACGCTGTGATGTCACAGCCGTCCCGCAGTACCGCTCAACCTGGGGCCAGGCCAGAGGGGGGTGGAGTAAAGTGAGTGCCATTTAAACATAATAATGACCATTCTCGTCATCACTCTTGTGTCCCTCTGACCTTTGCTCTTGGGGCGTTGAGTGAAAAAAATGCTTACAAAACTACGACAGTGCTCTGCAGCTGTGCTGCTGGTTCTTGCCACTTGAAAGTCACTCTTGCAATATTTGGTGCTTTTCTTCAAGTCTCAGCTCCAGGAGACATGAGGTTTTGGGAGCATCTCAACTTTCATTTCAAGTCAAGGAAATTTCCTTGCG